GGTCGGGCTCGGCGCCGGGCAGCAACTCGGGCGGGGCGGGTGGAGGAGGAGGCGGCATGTTGGGGCCCACGATGGGGAGTCCCAGGCTGGATGGTCACCACCACCACCACCATCACGTGCACAGCTCGTGGGACTCTCTCTTGGAAGGCTTGCAGGAGATCAAAGCTAGCCAGGCGCACATGGAGGACACCATCGAGGACATGAAGGGCCAACTGCAGAGCGACTACTCCTACATGACACAGTGCCTGCAAGAAGAGCGATACAGGTACAGTATACGCTCAACCCTTCCTTGCCCCCACCCAAAAAGTCTTCCAACCTCACTCCCAAGCCATTAAACTCTTGATGGAAACGGTTCATTTCCGACTGTTTTGGCAAAACCCACCATTATAACACCACATGGAACAAATATGCCATACTGCCTTAAAGAGTGTCTCGAATAAATGGCACTTAATAATTGAGTGCATCTGCTTGAATTGACTAAAGTTACAAAACGGATGGCTCCTTTTTTCAACCTGGAAAAAAAAAGTACTTTGCTGTAAATAGCTTTTGTACGACTGATCCCACGATGTGTTAAATATACCTATTGAAACACATTTACGATTCAAATATGTCACATTTTTTACTAGTAATTTTTAAATTTGTGAAAAACAATTTGGTGTAACTTAAAAATACAAAAAGTAGATACAATAACAATAATTTGAAAAAATTTGCATACTGTATATTCAGTGTATGTGATAATGAATTATGATACAAAAGTATTTTTATAGGATGAAAAAAATAAATGCCTTGTACCTGAAAAGTCACCATATGTTGAAATATTGTAGGTCCATTTTCTACCAGTTACAGTGTTGTTGTTTTTTTTTTTTAAATGACATTCTATGTTCTTGTAAGAAAATATTGATGTTGTCCTTTGCAATGATATAATTAAAAGATGTATTTTTGGGCTGTTGTATTTCTTGAATTCAGGTATGAACGATTAGAGGAGCAGCTGAGTGACCTGACGGAGCTTCATCAGAACGAAATGAGCAATCTCAAACAAGAATTAGCCAGCATGGAGGAAAAAGTGGCCTATCAGTCCTATGAGAGGGCAAGAGACATTCAGGTAAGGATGGATATGTGGATGATAGCTGAAAGGGTGAATGGATGATCGATGGCTTAATTGATGAATTATGGACGAATGGATGGATTGATAGACGGATACATAAATGGATGGATGAGGGATGGTGGATGGATGATGCTATAAAGTTGGAGTGATGAATTGTTGATAACTGGGTGGATAATGGATGGATAGACAATACAAATGGACAGATGAATCAATGGTGGACTGATGATGATGTATTTTTAATGAATCTCCCGCAAGTGTAAACGTGTGCGCGCGCCCGCAGGAGGCGGTGGAGTCGTGCCTGACGCGCATCACCAAGCTGGAATTGCAGCAGCAACAGCAGCAGGTGGTCCAGCTGGAGGGCGTGGAGAACGCCAATGCCCGCGCGCTGCTGGGGAAACTCATCAACGTCATCCTGGCGCTTATGGCCGTGCTGTTGGTCTTCGTGTCCACGTTGGCCAACTTCATCACGCCGCTGATGAAGACGCGGGCGCGGGTGGGCGCTACCGTTCTGCTCACCGTGCTGCTTTTTGTTTTATGGAAGCACTGGGACTTTGTGGATCCTTGGCTTATACCCAGCTAAGATGCCCCATTGGAGGAACCGGTGCAGAGTGTCCATCTCTTAGTTTTTTGTTTTTTTGTTTAAATCCCTTGTGCCCTCCTCACATGTAACATTCTGACACCCTTTGTTTGTTTTAAAAAATAAGACAAACATCTTCAGACTTGTTTCAAACTATCAAACACGAGCCGCTGAGAATAGGCTAACACCTTTTATTTTAAAGTAAGGTGTAGAAATGAATAGAAGAAAGGCATATTATTCAGTGGAAAACGGGTCTAGGTTTTGCTCCAATTTGACATATTTTTGGCTTGCCTGCCAGTTCAGCTGCAAAAATGTAAGTCAGTGTTAGATATTATCTTGAATGAAATATTGACACATTTGATGGATGTTTGGACTTAATGGCGGCCATTCGGCAGCAGCCAGAATGATTTAATAAGGAAGTCAAATCAAACATTTTCTTTATAATATGTTCTGCGTCACCCCCCTTAATCTAAACACGGCAGTCTGATTAATGTTTCATTTGTGGCATGTGAATTAAGCAGCAAAATCCACCCTTCTTTGATCTCAGGGGCAGCCATTTTGCCACCTGCTGTCGACTGAAAATGACATCACAGTTGCTCAGGGCTCAGGTAACGACCATTCACGGCTCACCTGTTTTCTGAGTTTGGACATGTGACACTCGCAAACCGCATTCCCAGTCATATTGGTGAAAGAAACTGGATTTAGAAATTTAAAAAAATACCAAAAAGAATATTTTCTGGCCACAAGCTGTAACACCGCCAAAATGACCACCAAATAGGAGCGAAACAAGACAAAATGTACAAAAATAACAGAGGAGGGCACAAAGGTTAATTAAGGCCTGCACCAGAATGTGAGCTGCTCTACTTTCCCTTGGAATGACAAAACAAACTACACATGAAAACGTGGACAAAATAACATCTGACCAAGCTTCTACATCGACGACCTTTTTGGTGTGGATGCCCGATCATCGATTTACACTGCTGTCACCAAAAACATTATCTTTTTCTAACGATTCTTTTAAGATGTACGCACTATGAATTAGCAGGACAGGACTCAGGAGGCTGACCTTCACGTTGGACACTGATTTGTGAGGAAATGTTTTTGGGTTTTTTTTTTCTTTTCTCTCTCATGAATGTTTATGTGCTCATCATGCATGTCCTCGTGTGGACTGGCACCAGTTGACATTTCAATTGATGACAATATGGATTTCGCTCGATGCCAGATATATGCTCACTGGACACTTTCTTAGGTAGCCCTGCACAATTGCATGAGATCCAATATCTAATACAAGATATACTGCACACACACACACACACACACACACACACAAAAAAAAAAAAATATATATATATATATGTGTGTGTGTGTGTGTGTGTGTGTCTATGATTAGACATTTATTTTCACTTTACATTACACTTTACAAGTTGATACATCCATAGTGAGCTCTTTCTAACTATTTGAGAGTGCAGGTTTACCTAATAAAATGTCAATTTGTTAAATCAATGTCATTCCTCGTTTGTTGCTGTTTGCAAGTAGGCTTTTTTGGACAAATTTCTGGCTGTTTCCCCCTAGCTGCCATTGAACAAAGCCTTTAGCTGTTAAAATGTTTCATCACCCTGTCAAAGATTTCCCCTCCATAGCTGATATATTTCATTAACACTGTTATAGATCTGCTTTCGTCCACGGTGTCAAATGAGCTGGCATGTCAATTTGTGTCAATGTTTCTAACCAGTTTGCAAAAAAAAAAAAAAAAAAATCTACAAATAAATATTTGTTTTATTACGAATTGTGACAAATATACTTCCTCTCCCACCTCCATCCCGCCGCTCTTTCAATAAAGTTAAGCGAAGCACACATTGAGAGGAAAGGTTCAATAAAAGTAGTAATCCCGGGGGATTACTTACAACTAATCCTCTGTCGTCAGGAGAATCTTTGTCTGGACTAGATTGCATTTCTTTTGAGGGTTCCAATCTTTAAAGAGGAAATAAATAATTAAGAAACTGAATTAAAAGTAGGTCACCAATCAATTTTCGGCCAGTCTTTTCATTCTGGGAAATAATTGTAAATATACATATAAACATAACATCACTGGCCATCATTTATTTTTGAACAGTACTACATCATATCGAATATATCTCGTATTTATTACATGTGAGAATTTAAAATTTTAGAAAGGATCATGGAAGTTGACATGTTTGAGCTGCTTTCGCGGGCCACATAAAAAGATGTGGCGAGCCAGATTTGGCCCCCGGGCCTCGAGTTTGACACCTTGGTCTACATGGACACTTTTCGCTTTGCAGTAATTTCAGTCATTCTTTGCAGAGGTTGAAGAATATATGCCGGTGAGCGTCATTGTCAGATAAACGTCCATTGGATAAAGGATTATAACACCAACGCATAAATGATATTTGTTAGCATGTCTCGTGTGTTGCATGTTAGCATTAAGATAGCAAATCCTGCGCAGTTATACGGTGTTAAAATCTATTTTATCTTTAGTTTGGCACTAAACTTAAAGTGAGTGTGGCAATTAAGTTTGAAGCCTCGTTTTAAAGAAAGTATTCGCACGGTAATGAAAGGGCAAAGAGCATTTTGAGTCACCAAAAATGGATCAGAATCTTACAAGAAATTGCTTCATGTTTTTAATAACTGTCAGGCAAAACCCATATGACCATTACATTGATGACATGTATTCTTAAAGTTAACAACAGAACTCACCTGACCTCTAAGCAGTAGGACATTCATCGTCATTAAGATTGTTTCTGACTTGAAGTTGACAAATGTAGTGTGGATTTCACTCGTATCAAACACAAGTGTTTCTTCTCGATTAGCTAGCAAATTCTAAAGACTTTAATAGAAACAGCAGAGTAGAAAAAAAAACAATTCCTGATTTGATCTTAAATTCCTGTCAAGGTTTAAGATTTACAATATATTGCTTTCAGGTGCTAAAACGTAAGGTACCAAATGTCTCTTGAAAAGGAGGAGGAAAAAAAAAAAAAAAGAAACATTCATCACTTCTGCAGTGGCTTGTCTCCATCGCCGGTCTCGTCTACACATGGACTCAATGAGGGAGAGTGGTGGTGGGTGGGTGGGAGCTCCCATGTAGAAACCATATAGGAGCAGCAAAATTTAAAAAAAATGAACAATCACAAAGCTAGGACCAGCTAGATGAGCAAACCCCCACCCGCTTTTCAAAAACCCTCCGTCATTTCTCAGTCAAGTGTCCTTTTGGCTTCCTTTCATGGCAGTTGAACACAGAATGAACTCAAGCAACCTCGCTGAGGAGAACATACAAACCAGGAGACGACATCATGATGTCCACGGGGAGGAATCGAAAAGTGACATTTCACAATAAAAGTAAAAAATATTTGAAATAAAAATCAGAACCACAAGGAACACAAGTCTGAAATTCTCGGAATCTTGTTTCAAGTAAGATGGCCCATTTTGGGGAGAGTTAATCCCCCTCTTGACATATGTAAAGCTACAAAATATAACCGCTCTAGGTGATAAAACAAATCAAAACAAACAAAAAAAAAGTCATGGAATACAGATTGTGTGTTGTATTGTGTTCAACATAAAATGCAGTTTCAGGTATGTGTGCCTGCTCGGTCCTCATACTCAATATAAATGAGGTTTTTTTCTCCTTAATTTTTAAATGCAAGCACACCACTGGATATTTAGCAGGACCTAATCGAACCCGCTCGCACAGTCTGCTGGTCCCACAGGCGGACTGACCTGTCGCTTCATTTATGAAAAAGTTTCTTTGTACACATCCGAAAATGAGGCTCGAAACACAGTGGCTAAATTACCTCCGCCATTTATGCAAAATTGAAATGATTGATTTGCATGATTTTGTGGAGAGGTGGCACAAGTGTGGAACAAGATTACATTAAATGTTATTATGAAGGACTATCAGAGCCATAGTGAGAAAAAAAAAGTAAAATTACAAGGGGAAAAGACATACAGTTAACGATAAAGCTCATGTAATCGTGGTCATCCAAAAAGAATGAAGTAGAAATGTGATCAAACGGCCAAATTTGAGTAGTAGTACGGAGTAAGACAATTAAAAATAGGTCATGGTTTTTAGAAAAGGGGAGGAAACGTGAGAATGAAGTTGCCATTTTAACAAGTGAGTGTTAAAATTCCATGTGGACGTAAACGCAACATTTGGAGACAAGCGGCCGCTGTCTACGTCTTGAGAGCTGCCATATATTCATGCCATTTTTAATAGCGCTTGTCCTCATTCGGTTCACAGGTTGAGGAGGAGACCATCCCACCTGACTTCAGCAGGGGTGATGTACATCCCGGTTTCGTCGCCAACACAATTGCAAGGCACATATAGAGAGACAAACTGTCTTTTTTTTTTGCTCTTGTAAAATTATGATTTAGAGGATTACAAGTCATGCGAGTGACTCACTGTGGTGGTCGCTGACCAAACAAGCCGACGGTTACAACGATTTAAACTATTACAACTTTGTTCTTGTGGCCATACGACTTAATTATTTTTCTTTAGCATGTGGCCCTAATAGTCCTTCATACATTTTGTTGGTAATCTGAATCAAGACGGAGAAAGAGAAATGTATTTCCTCTTCTCGCTGTGTCATGGTTCTCCCTGTTGCAGAATCAAATGTGGTACAATCCAACATGGATGACCACAAACCAAAAACGCACAAGTAGAGGGCGCTTGAATTTCTGTCAATCTTGGCGGAGGTCTGTGCAAATCCACTTAGGACATTTGTCAGTTCATGCTCTGTTTGCATTTTGTTCTCGGTGGCCATGGCAAACTCATTTGGGATTTGGGGCCATGGAATTTCTTCTTTTTTTTTCTTTTCTTCTCCATATCAAAGTTTTGCTGGCTTTGAAGCAATTACGTGCTACCGCAGAGGCTAACCAACACGGCGACTGTTGTGGCAAATTCTTTTTGGTCTGTCACGTTTGCTTTGTCGCACATCTACGGTGGTCTGAAATGTGATCGCCGCGGCCTGCCGGGAACATCATCGAAACATTAGTCCCTATTGCTATTTTCAAGAGTGTGTTTGGTGACATCTGGGTGCGAAACAATTTCATAAATGCAGCTCAGGCTCACAGCGAGAAGTCCCTAAGCGGACCTCTGGGTGTAGAAGAGAATGTAGGCCTGAGTGTTGCACACTTCCTCCACGCTGCAAACCTTCATCTCAGAGTCATTGCAGTGGACCCAGAAACCTGCGGGGCACAGCAATCCAGTTAGATTCGATGCCGCGCTTTGCAACAGCGCAATTTGTCCAGCGTTCTCACCTCCTTCTGTGTTGTAGCAGTATGCGGTGTAGTGCCCTGAGCCAAAGCCTTTGCCGTGGTGCATCACCACGGCCGACAGGTCGTAGGTGTAGCCCCCTCTGTGAACAGAGTGACCTGAGCCCGTGCAGCAATAGGGTTTGATGTTCAGAACCTGGTCGAAGGCCACGTGGACGCCGATTTTCTCCCGATGGTTCCTCCCCGACCATCTGCCCGTGCAACACAAGAGCTTGTTCATGTCACAAACATTGAGTTTGATTAAGTTAGCAGCAATTTTACTCATGAAAGACTTGGTTTTTGGAGCAAATTGCTCATTCTGAAGAGCAATTTTTGGAGGGTAATCCCCAACCCCTGAAATTAAGGTTTTATCAAACAGTAAAAAAAAAAATCCGTTCATGTAACGGGGAGATTGAATGTTGGGCTGTAGTGATCAAATATTTCAGTATTTGAGTTTCCTGCTGAACTGCATCCCGAGTTCCACACCGAGGGAACAGACGGTACGTTTTTTTTTTTAAATATTTGAAACAATCATGTGTTACGTGCATAATGTGTTCGTCTTCTGCGATTTCCGTAACATTTGGGCTCTGCGTTTTCCCTCGTCCAGCTCAACACTGATTGGTCATCATGCCACTCTGTGTGTGTGTATATATATATCTTAGTCTGTGCTAAACCCAATTTGCAGTGGAAGTGGTGGGAAAAGCTCTGTTGGACAAACTACTGAAGATAGGGATTTAAATAGTCGCTCTTTTTTTTCTTGGACATCGATCTCCATGAAAGAATATACATTGTTAAGAAGATTGCAATAAAGACACTTGCCTGAAGCGCTTGAGGTGCAGCCGTAGAACCTGAGGTAAACGGTAGATCAGAAGCTGCTTATGGGCTTCTGAAAGAACTAAAGGCTTGTGGGATGTTTTCCTTCTTCTCTCTGACAAATCACATGAGAGCGAGATGACAAATTATTGCTTGAAAGTGACAAAACGGAAGAGGGGGAGGGCAAAAATATAGAAAGAGCGCAAAAAAAAAAAAAAAAATCACAAAAGCTAATTTTGTTTACATGGCGCCAATTCAAAATATAATCTTACGCATTCTGTATAATGCATCACGCCTTAAATCCTTAATAAGCACTTGGACCTGCAGTTTAAATCCAGGCTGGACAACAATTAGACCGGTTACATCACCAATTCTACATAATAACCACATGTATAAGAATTCAGTTGGAATGCCAACGCCCACTTCCTGCTGGAGAAGTGAAACATTATCAGAGGACTGGTGCACACGGGTCAAAGTCCAAAGGCTGGACTCACTGTTGCAGTGGTTGCAGGCATAAATGCTGCCTTCCAGCGCTTCCATCTCGGTGAACTTGGACAGCATTTCGGTGAGGGTGCAGCTGCGCTGGTAGGCTGTGGAGCCGGAGCCTTTGTTGACGCTGTGGTAGCGCTCGGGAAACTCCAGAGACAAGTCCCAGAATGGCTCAACTGTGTTTGACTTGTGCTTGCAGGACAGACACGTCACCTGGACAGAAGCGCGGGAAAAGAAAAGAGAGCTTACTTTTAAACCACATAAATTCAACCCAATCGGGCTGTCTAGAAAACCTACGAGACGTCTTGTGTGGAAAACAACACAAGCAGTCGGCCAATAACAAATATGTTGTTTGTAATATCTCATTTGGGAGAATGACTAAGGTGCGCTGTTCTTCCCTATCTCATTCGGCCTGCCTTTCAGTACATCTGCTCGGCCTTCGGAGATCCAATCAGAGATGGGCCGAGCATTTGGTACTTGGGCCTTGAGTGCTGATTCACCCAAATTAAATTCCCCATGAATGACGCCAAATTACACCAAAATACAACACAACATCACTCAAGTGTGCCACTTACGTTGTCTGGGGGCTGTTCAAAATCAGTTGTTATGCTGTGTGTTGTGTTAGTCGAGCAGTTTTGCTCTGATCAACCAATCGGAGGATAGAAAATGATGACGTTGACTGTAGGCTAGCTCGCTGGTCCTGTGAGGAGGATTTTAAATCTGATTCTAAAGGTTATGGGGAGATTAGCTAGACGTGGGCGGGTAAAAGAAAGTGAAGTCTGGTTGGGCATTTTTTTTTCTCCTTTTTTGTTTACATCCATCTACTGTACACAAAATATTAACAGGACAACCAAGTCATAATGCTACAAAATGCAGAGAACAGACCACTGGCAATAAATCAGTACAAGGGAAACAATTATGCAAATTTTAACCCGCCTAAATGTAGGTTGCCCCTGAGCAACTTTTATCCATAATCATTTATGGCGGCAATACTTTACAGACTCGATGGGACGACGCTTGAGAGTACAGAAGAAAACAATGAATGACAGTGAGCTCGGAGTGATATGCGACTGTTTGGGACTAATGGAAAAGCAGGACTAGTCTACTAAATGATAACAACTGTTCATTACTGTTTTGTGGGTGTTACACGCAATGACCAGCTTTAGGACGATGTGCTGAAAGAGGTGCGGCAGCCACACGGGGAGAGGCGGAGTTTCAGTGCTTCCTTCCGGGTTTGTAAAATAGCCACCAAAGTAACTCATATTTCATAAGAAATGAGATCGCTATTGTGCCAAAGGTAATATATAATCATCTATATGCCAGCATTGAACTGTGGAAATCTTAAAACTGCATGATGTGGCCCCCTTCAAGTTTTGCCTTTCTCGCTTTTGGCGACAACCTGACTGAAAAAGATACGACAAGCATGCACGGATCGAAGGAGTACCGTTTTCCAATGTGTGAAAGGAACTCGGCTGGACCCAGAGACATTTTCCCACAAAAGTCAAAGGAAAGGCGGTCTAAAAGTTAGGAGAAAAAGAGACCCAAAGGACACGTTGCCAGACTCACCTGGCTGAGTAGCTGCCCATGAAAGATGGTGTTCAGCACCTTGAGCACTTGCTTGGAAAGCTTCCTCTTGGTGATGGGGATGACGATCCGCCGTTTGGAAGCCTCCGTGTCCAGCTCCTGCTGCACCTTGTCCAGCAGCTCACACAGGAACTCCTGCGCGTCCTGCTGGTCGTAGCCGCGGAAAGCCGGGATGAGGTTCCACACTGAATGCAGCATGGCGAAGGGAGACACCAAAGACCAGCGCCCCGACCACATGACCCTGAAAAGAGTATGCAATTCATGGCACAGAGACATCTGCTGGCGGGTGGAGCAACGAGTCTCCTTGGGCTGGACCAACTCGGCAGTCTGCGGGGTGGGCGGGGGGCTTTCCTTTTTGCCCACCGTCAGATTTCCCACGCGTCCCAGGGGACATGAGGTCAGAGGCATGTTCGCGCTGCTGACCACGCTTCCGGCTACCGCCTTACCCTCCTGCGCGTGGTTGGTCTTGGCCAGCAGCTCCTCGGTCTCGCACAGGTCCAAGGTGAGAAAACACTCCCTGAATTTCTGCAGGTGACTCAGCACTTGCAAGATGGAGTTCATGTAGCATGTGTTCCCCAGGTTACGCAGACCGGTGACCCCCGGAGCGAGGCGTCGGCGGGTCGCCGAATGGGCTGAGTAGTAGCGCCTCAGTTTTGCAGCTCTGCCGTTCGTGGGGGGCTTTCGTGACAAGGCAAGGAGGGAAGGCCTCTTGGGCGGAGCAGGAGGAGGAGGTAGGCGTACCGGAGGGTCTCGGAACTTACAGGGAATGAGGGTGATGGTTGAACGTGGCGCTTGAGTGAGAAGCCGAGCGCTCTTTCTGGGCGGGACGCTGCCCAGCTCTTCCAACAGTCTCCTTTTCACCTCTTTCTTTTGTCTTCTCGCCTCCTCCAGCTTCTCTTGGCGCTCCGCCTGCAGCTCTTTATGTCTGCTCGTCCACCTCTGAAGCATCTTGGCCAGGAGGGTTTTTCTCCTGTGACGCAACGCCAGCTGCATGGGAGGCTGCGGCCCGTTCTCACCGCCCCGGTGGGTGTACGCCCGCCAAACCGAGGAGCGCAGCGAGCGCGTACCGGGGGTGCGAACGG